CATTGTCGTATAACTGTTGGATGAGATGTATAATTGTCGATGGGACCCCGTAGTAGCGAAGTAGTTTCCAAATGACCTCTCGATCGACGCTGTCGAAGGCCTTTTCAAAGTCGATGAAGTTGAGATAGAGAGGTGACTGCCATTCCAAGCTTTGTTCAATGATGATCCGTAGAGTGGCGATTTGATCAATACATGATTTGTTTCTCCTGAATCCAGCCTGTTCCGGACGAAGTTTTTCATCTAGGGCTTGTTTGATTCTCTCCAGGATGATGCGACTTAGTATCTTGCTTGGAATGGACAGAAGCATAATTCCACGCCAGTTTTTACATTGACTTAAGTCTCCTTTCTTTGGAAGTTTGAATAAGTATCCGTTCTTCCAATCCTCGGGTACTTTGCCCTCTTTCCACACCTTCTCCAGCAGTGGTGTCATCAAGTCCGCTGTTGTCTCTGGGTCTATTTTCAAAGCTTCTGCTGGGATTCCATCTGGTCCCGGTGTTTTCCCAGCTTTAAGCATCTTGATTGCATTCAGGACTTCTGATTTCGTCGGGGGGTCAGTGTTCACTGGTAGTTCTGCTTCCGTTGTTGGTATAGTTGGGCGTGTTGTAGGTGGCGGACGATTTAGAAGTCTTTTGAAGTGTTCAGCCCAGTGCTTTCTCTGTTCCACCTCTTTGGTGATTGACTTTCCATTGTCGTCCTTTATTGGCTTAATCTGTGTCGAACGTTTGCCCGAAAGGTTCCTAGTTGTTTGGTAGAGTGTGGCGAGGTCTTTAACTGACATAATTTGCTTTCTAAGTGAGCTTATTTATGCGCCTTCCGCATTTATTCCAGCCTTATTTAGAATCGAGTTCCAGAGTTCTGTTGCCTTCAACTGATGATGTAACTACGAGCAATAAATAGTAGTTAACACGTTATCCAGTGGATTCAACTGTTTTCACTGTATGATATATGCGTTAGACGGATAAATATGGATGAGTCACTACATTTTCTCTTGGAGAGCCCTTCTGAAGTGGTATTATTCCCTAGGTTTCAAGCAGAACATAAGACTTCAACAGCATATCTCCATGTCATTATGTGTTCCCATTTTTAATGCTAATTCGTATAAAGATAACCGGTATATAAAACCACTTGTTGATATGGTATCTTACTAGCACAGGAAAGGACCCGAAGCTCTGGAGTTTCATTGGCGGTAGTGTTGTTTCCCTATACACGGTACAGTTCCCTAGCCAAACCTTACTACCTGTTAGACATTTAATTATGTCAAGAATCGAAATAGAATCACGTGCATGGTCGGCTAACATTCTACTATGATATCTTAGAGTGATCTCTACCCCCAGTTTCAACAGCTTCTGTCTAATCAGCCAGCTGTAAACGAACTCTAGTAAAAACAGTGTTCTATGGGGAGGAATTTATATGCTCAGAAGATTAAATTAAGGAGAGAACTGATGTTACTTTTGAAAAATACCTGGAAGAAAATGGTTATTTTCACAAAGATTCATCGAGAAATACAGCAAGAAGGAACTTAAAAATCTGGATATAATTATAGTCAGGAAAAAACTGGTTTTCATTGATTTTAACTTTATAGGTGATGATATTATTAGGATGCTAAATAAACGTTTAAACGCCTTGGTGGCTACATTGCAAAACCGGACTAATAGAATTCAGTCTGCACGAAACAAATTACTAAACACATGACAATGGTTACTAGTGTCAAATCAAAATACCCTTAACAGTCCTACAGGAGGTCAACCGCAAGCCCAAATAGCTCACTGGTAACGTCCCTGACTGCAGGCATCACTGGGTAACGCGTGTTCGAATCTCAGAAAGGAAACGAGTTCCTTCAGGATTGCAGACATGCCTTGCTGACCAGTGAGTGCCAACTAGAACGAAACCTAGGTCTAGCCAAGGCTTCCTGTGGCCGATTACCTTCAACCTGCGTCGGTGGAACAGCCGTCAGGACGCCCGCCGACCATGCGCATGGTCAGGAGTTCGGTTCCCGGTTGGCATACTCTTTTGCCTCACTAAGCCAGAAATAAAGTTGGTAAAGAGGAAAGATTAGGCATGATAATACCAACCCCATCCAGTAGAAAAAAAAACACTGCTACAGAAACTTCAAGCCTCTAGCTTGAAGGCACCCTATGTTCCACTGGTGACGTAAGGGAATAAAAAATTCTAACATCAACAATTGAAAGTGCACCGTTACAGTGAGCCATCTTTTGGCATGCTTGCCAAATTGCAAACTTGACTGACAGAATTCAGTCTGTACCATAGGAAGGACTAGATGCATCACACTTGTCACTGGTGTCCAATGAAAGTAAAAGTTTAAGCACAGCATTAAATAAGACATAGTCGGTAGCAGAATATCCTACTTGTTGGCAGGGTAAGAAATGGGCAAACACTCCTCAGATGTTACCTTCACCTGTGTATATCCATTCATTTGCAACTGCGGCAGCGAAGAACCCTTGACTAAAGGGACTGAATAATTTGAGCTTGTCAATTATCAAACACATGATAGACATGGGGCACCGAAAGGATGTACTGGGAGTATTCAAAGTAGCTTGAGCTATTGCAATAAAATAACTGGAACCTGAACTATGTGTTCAAAAGGAATAATCCGTCGTGGGATTTCAATTACACTAGAAACTCTTTGTCTTCTAGTTTCATTACTGTTTTTTAACCCCTCTCCCTGTTTCCCTTTTGACTTTTGTATTAGGCTGATTGTATCGCATCATCACCTTTCATCCAACTTATACACACCTACTTTTGATAATGCAATCTTATAAGCTTTAATCATTGTATTTTATTATCTGTCGTGACGCAATTATCACTGATTTATCGTCACTCTAACAACCAGTCTGTTCACATTCATGATCATTCGACAGACCATGAAGAACAAGAAGACAGGTATACGTTAGACTGTCGAAAAGATACTAACTCTTGAAAACTAATCTGACTCTCGCCATCGACTGGCTATGGGATTAAGCTGCCTGGGGTTGTATTGAGAAGTTGTCGCTAGTGGGGTCCACTAGGACGCACATGAGGACAAATACTTGTTGATAACATTGTCTAGTGGTCGTACTAAAATCAGGAACTGGTAGAAGTCGGAGTTCATGGGTTGGTCATTAGATCAGGTCCTAGTGGCTGGCATGGTCTGCGAGCTTATCCAGTAAGGTGAAAGTTCTGAGTTCGAACCCCAGAGACTGTTTACTACTGAGGACTCCCAAACAAGGACAAAACAGCTGTCCAGTTTACAATGGCTCTAGAACTGATATAAATCCATAATCAAACTTGAATCTAATCAAATACCTATAAACCATCTCTTGAAAATCTTGAAAAACTTGGGAATCAATTTTGGTTGGAACAGGGTTTAGCACAGGTCTATTTCATTTTATTACTTCATCGAATTTGAAAAGGCCTTCAATAGTGTCGATCGAGAGGTGGTATGGAAACCAGTTTGCTGATACGAGATATCGCTAACAGTTATGCAGCTCAAACAACAGTTGTACCATAATGCTGCATGCCAAGCAATCCACAACAGGAAACTTACAGAATCCTTCGAAGAAGTGAAGACGGGAGTAAGACTAAGCTGACTGGCTGCCTACTATCTCCAATGATTTTCCTGTTTGCGGTAGACTGGATAATGCGACAGACAGAGACAGGCAATGAGGAAACAGGCATACAATGGGCCTGCACAAAAACTTGGAGGATCTGGATTTCGCCGATGATACTTGTCTGATTCTACACAAACTGGAAGATATGCAAGTGAAAAGCTGAACATGACCTGGAAAACATTCGCACGTGTCTTTCTGCATGATTAATTCTATGTAGTTTGTTTACTTATCAGTCTTATATCTCCCAATGTAATTTCAAAAGTATATATATCCGTGTATGTAGAGTATTCAGCTGACGAGTTCTACTGAAATTTGATGAATTCATTAAATCCTGCTTTATTAACCTTTATTGCTTGTTTTGAAAAGCTACAAGATGGCAGGAGAAACATCAAAGATAGGTCTTCAGGAAACATAGGGAGAACAGAGTTGATGAAGATTCCTGGCCAGCAGTAACAGGAACAACAACAGATGACAATCAGCATAAATGGAAGAGATGTGAAAGAATCAACCTCCTTCACCTACCCGCCTTCCTAAGAAGCATCATTTCAACTACAGGCATAAGGAATTGATGAAGATATTAAAGTGAGGACCGGGAAGGGAAGGCAAGCTTCCATTACTCTAACGTTTGTGTGAGGATCAACACTCAGCATGAAAAATAAGATCCGAATTTTCAACTCCAATGTAAAGTCTGTGCTACTCTACACGGATCCAGGACTTGGCGCGTCATGAAGTGCACCTCAAACAAACTACATACCTCCATCAGCAGCTGTCTTCGCTCAATACTACTCAAGATCAGATGGCTGGCCAGAAAAGATCAGCAACAAAGATCTCTGGCAGTGAACGAACAAACTCAGCAACAACCAAATGTGCAACAAACGTGCAGGAAGAAATGGAGGCGGATTGGTCATACTTTGAGAAAACACACCATCAAGTGACACCACACACGAGGCCATCGCTCAAGTGGAACCCGATCGAATGGGAAGCGGAGAGATGGTCATCATTGCAAGGGTGACCTTTGACTAAGTGATGCAAAGAGTGGATGAAAGCATGTGGACAGAAGTGGAGCCAGATGAAAACGTTGTCTTAGAAATGAACACGATTGAGACATGCGGCTGAAGCCCAATGTTCCTCTAGAAATTAAAGGAGACAATAATAATAATAATCTCATTTTGTTGGTTTCCTTCAGTTGAGGTTTAGGAGTCTTTCGTCAGGTAATCGAATCCGGAACTCCCGTGTGTCTGGTGAGGACTCTACCACTGGATCATTAAGGCATAATGGCAATATTACTAACGTTAAATCAGTAGTAAATACTTCATATATATATACTTAAGTTGATTAACTCTCGTATTGAATGAACACTATTCGTCTAACAATTTATCAAAGTAAACTTACCGTGTAGCTATATGGAAATTATTAGTTGTCCCTGTATGCTCATAATCGTGTATTACAGCGGCGAATAGCATAGCGAATATGTCCAAATCGTTTAACCAATTCTGCTGGGTTAGAAATATAAGCGGGATGGAGAAAAACAAAACCGTTTCAGTGTATTAATGTTAGAAAAATAATATGAATAATTTCTTTATATTTTTTGAATGAAAAGATATTTGTTTAATTATAAGAACAATTTTTTTGGCGGGAAATATACGTTCAAATTTGAGCGAACATACTTTCTTCTTCCCTTTTGACAATATAAAGAAATAAAGCATATCTAAAATTAGTATAGCTAATCTATCTTCACTTTCTTCATCATTTTGTTTGGGTGAGATAGGTTATCGGTGAGTTGGTTCAAAGAGTTTCCTGTTTTTAATCCTTTCTGGCCATTTGATCTTCAAAAAATGAAGTCATTGAAGGCTGAATCTAGTGTGAAATGCTTTTGGTGACATGCCAAGTCTTGATATTACTGTTGAGGATTCGGATGTTATCCCCAGAAGCTGAGTGCAGTAGATTTCTAGGCTGATTTCCTGTTCACGAAGGTCTATCTTGATTTTCTGATCCTGTCTAGCCTTGATATCTTCATCCTTGTCACCTACAGTTGAAACGATTACTGCTTTACGGGCTTGATAAAGAACAAAGCTTGATAAAGAACAAGCTGATAGAGGACAAAGTGTATATTACAGTGGAATATTGGTCAATTCAGTATAGTTTTGATTAATTCTCAGGTTATTATTATTTCCTTAAATTCCTAGAGGAACATAGGGCTTCAGCTGCTCGTCTCCATTGCCTTCGGTTTTCTGCCAACTTTTTCACCCCGCTCCAAGTCTGCCCATATACTTTCATCTCCTCTTCACATGTCCTCCTCCAAGTCACCCTTGCACTGACGACCAACTCGCCACTTCCCTTTCGGGTTCCATTCGAGCAATGGCTTGTCTAGTGATGCCACCCACTTGATGGTTTCCTCAGACTATGGCCAATCCAATCCACCAGCATCAATTTCTTCCTGCCTATTTGTTTCACAATCGGTTCTTGTTGGGTTGGTTCGCTGATTGCCAGAGATCCGTGTTGCTGAACGTTTCTGGCCGGTCATCTGATCTTAAATACTGAGCGAAGACGACTGTTAATGAAGGTCTTTAGTTTGTCTGAGATGCTCTTTATGACTCGCCAAGTCTCTGATCCACATAGTAAGTAGCACTGAATTCACATTGGAGTTGAACATTCGGATCTTATTTTTGATACTGAGTTCTGTTGACCTTCACACAGACTTGACGTGAGTAATGAAATTTGTCTTGCTTTTCCGATTCTGGCTTTGATATCCTCGTCAGTTCCGTTGGCCTGTAGTTGAAACGATGCTTCCCAGGTAGGTTGATTTCAATATTTCTGTAATTGATGTCAATCTGTAGCTGAACTCAAAATAAATAAAATACGCATCAAAATCATGATTCAGAGTTATCTATCTACAAGGAGAAACTGCCTAGAGTTCCAATGAGAAATCGTGATCATTGGGAAGGCGCCCAGTGAGGAGTAAGGACAAACACTAGCCAGTGGTAATACTGGATGATGCCAGTCGCTCTTAAATTAATTAATGGCGCTATTAAGAAGACAGTTGCAGCGAAGAAAAGCTTTTCTTTTCGACGAAGTTACCGTCAACTAGATAGCTGCACATTCGTGTATTTATGATAAATGGGTGGGAAAGTTCCAGAATAATTTCCGGTTAAGGGTCAAATGAATAAAAATTAAAATTAGGAATTAAAATGCCATAATGAACAGGGAGATGGATAAAACAAACAAAGTAGCATCATAATAACTAAGAAGATTGACATTGTGCAGTTGGGGGTTAGAAATGTAGAAATAACAAAAAACAGGCAGGATGTTTGGATAAAAAAACTTACGTGATGAATAATTGTGTTATGCAATGAGGGATTAAATATGTAGAAATAGTAAAAGGACAAAATAAACACGAAGTTCGGATATGAAAATATGGTAGTGCAAACAGGGATTAAGAAAAACTTAAAAGTAACATGAATAAACAGGAAGTTTAGGTCAGAAAGGCGATGGAATGATCGTTTCTAAAAAAAAATTACCTGTTTATGGTGGCTGTGGCAGGGACAGGATTCGGATGTATTTTTTGGGATACAAAGCGTGAGTTTGAGCTTTTGGATAGCTAGTGTCTCGGCTATGCCCAAATGTCTTAATTTCACTCTCTTTGATAGGTTTGATTGAATCTTGTATAATTATACAAGAAGAGTCTCAAACATATAGCACAAAACAACTGGCTTTCTAATACTTCCTAGTTTTTTAAAAAGATGCTCTCTCTCTCCCTCTTATTGATGTCAGCTCATGATTAAATCCTCCATACAATCAAACAAAATCCCTACAAAAAACCAACACTTGAAAATTAATCTGATGCTCACTAGCGACAGGCAGTTAACCTGGGGTTCTAGTGGGAAGCCATGACCAGTAGGGTACAGCAGGTCGAAGATGAGGCAGTAACTCATCGAAGAAGACATTGCGAAGTGGTCGCGCTATGTCGTGAATTGGCAGAAGTTAGAATTGAAGAACCATTGAATCGAGTCCCAGTGGCTCAATGGTCTACGAGCTAGTTCGCCTTGTAACCAGAAGGTCCTGGGTTCGAACCCCGGTGGGTGCGTACTGCTGAGGAGTCCCAAACTAGGACGAAACAGCTGTCCAGTACTCCCAGTCGGTTTTCCAGTGGTTCTCTAACTGATGTCAGCTCATGATTAAATCCTCCATACAATCAAACCAAATCCCTACAAAACCAACACTTGAAAATTTTAATTTTCATTTATTAGAAGAAACAATCAAATGAATGAACTTTTCCTGTTTTTAAGTGTTTCACTAATTTTCCATTCATTTTGTTTTATCTATTTGTTTCACGTAGAGATGGGTGTGGTTATATACATGCATGCATATATATATATATATATACATATCCTCGAAACGTTATCCTCAAGCTAGAATACAAAAGTTGCTGATCAAATATTGTATATATATATATTTTAGGGATGTATACAAAAAGAAGAGGAAAGACTCTTCACAACCAACGAACAAATAATTAATCGATAATCTTTCCCCAAGGTATACTCGTCAATGTTTTTTTTACTCCACTTTACTCTACTACTCTAAGTAAAAACACCTTTTATTTTTTATTTGAGGCATTTTTTTCCTTGAAAACCATGAGATAACGTTTCTTAATGCATGAAAGCAAAAAAAAGGGAGAATATATGCAGTGGAAGGCGAGAAAGGCGGAAATGAATACACACATGCATATTTTTCGCATCTCTTCTGCATTCGTCTTCTGTGTTTCTATTTCATATTCCTGGTTAATTTCTACATATATATATATATATATATACTCACTGAGATAAAAGACATAAAGGGAGGGAGATAGGGAGAAAGGAGTGGTCTAGATAAAAAGAACAATAAAAATAGGGAGAAGAATAAGACGTGTGTCCTTATCAAAAAAAAAGGAGAATATAGAGAAAAGGTAGATTTTGTTATTCAATGTTAAAGTGAATTATTTTGAATGCTTTAAATAAAAGACAATCTTTGTGAGTTGGAAAAAGAAATAAGGAGATTTATGAATACATATCACAGAATGTATGATTATGATTTTATATTACTCTGCCTTAATATGGTGTTCACACACACACACACACACTTGAAACAGACAGTTTGATGAGTAGTGTTCTCCTTTGATTTCTTTGTATTTTGAAGTAGAAAGTAGGGTGGTTTTATAGTTAATTAAGCTTTGAAGGTTTAGTAGCAGTAATAGTAACAGCAATGTTGATAGTTTTACGCCCAACTTCCCACCTCCCTACCCTCTACCCACTACACCTTCCACCTTTATTGGACTAACTAGTGGCTGGTTAAATGAGGTTTAACACTTCAATAGTTTGTCAACATGTGACTAGAAGTGGGTTTCATTTATTTTTTTTCAAGCAACATGGATTCATTATCAATTGTTGGTATGCAGGAATTGGTTATTATTAATATTATTGTTCACTTGAGTTCCTAGTGGAACATACGGCTTCAACTTGCCACTTCTGTCTTCCTTTTGCTGTACTTGTCACCTGCATCCATGTTAGTAAGTCCATACTGTTTCAGCTCTTCTTCACACGATCTCGTTCATGTCACCCATCCTTGCACTGACGTCCCACTAGCTGCTTCCCTTTCGGCTTGGTTCCACTCGAGCAGTGGCCTGACGCGTGCGATGTCACCCAGCGACCTCCTCAGCGAGTGAATTTCCAATCCATCTCCATCCATTTTCTCCTGCATATTTGTTGGTTGGTTCTTGTTTTGTTTGTTCCTTCCCATAGTTTCTTGTTGGTGATTCTTTCCGGCCCGGCCATCTGATCTTTAGTACAGAGCGAAGACAGTTTTTGATAAAGGTAACGTCTGATCCGTATAGAAGAACTGACTGATTTGACATTTGCATTGAAAATCCGACGGAATTTTGTTGCTGATACTGGCTAAGTGACGAAGATTTTCAGATTGGTTTCAGGTTGATGAATGTGTTGCTCGCCTTCCCGATTCTCTCTCGATTTGACATCCTCGTCGGTTCCGACTTCCTGTAGTTGAGACAATGCTCCCTAGATAATGAAGTGAACGGAGTGACCTCTTTCAAATCCCTCCCGTTGATGGTGATTGGCACTGGATTTTGCTGCTGCTGTTGTTGGTTGGTTATTTTCATCACCTCAGTCTTGTCTATGTTTACCTGGAGTCCTGTCTTCGCCGATTTTCGCTTGTAAGTCTTCGATTTTGTGTGACATCTAACATAAATTATCCACGCGCGAAATCCAGGTCTTCTAGGTTCTTCACGTTGGTCTAGGATATTCCTGTCTTCTCGTTTCCCACTCACTGTCTGACGCATAAACCAGTCCACCACAATTAGGAGTATCATTGGTGATAATAAGCACCATTATCTGACCTCTCCGTTTACTCCAAACGCCTCGCTGAGTTTTCCGTTATGGATCACTTTACATGTGCCCTTATCGTACAACTGTTGAATAAGGTTGATTAATATTTGGGGTACGCCGTA